AGTGGCCGTGGGAGGTGGGGAATGAACAAAAGCCTTCCATGAATCTCTGGCACCACTCTACAGATTACCGACTAACTGCAAGAGTAGGCATTTTTATCTGTTTCTTTACATTTCTAGGAAATGGTTCCCTGAATTGTGGGAGGTGGGGAATGAGCAGTAGAAGGCAGTGGGAGGGGCAGGGAGTTATGCCAAGTGTTAAGAGAGAAAGAGACAGCAGACAGTGCAGTCATCCTCTGGTCTTGCAGAACTCAGCTTCCTGGGAGCTGAGCAGTCATGAGCAAGACTCACTCATTCACTCACTGCCATCCACATGATAGCAACTCTATAGAACAGGGTAGAACTGCCCTGGTGGGTTTCTGAGACCATAACTGCATGGGAGTAGAAAGATCCTTCTTTCTCCCTCAGAGCAGCTAGTTGTTTTGAACTGCTGACCTTGTGGATGGCAGCCCAAAGGATAACTGGTAATCACAGGTCTGCTGAATAAGCCTCAGAAGGGCTATATAAAAGGCTTGGGAAGCAAGCACCCACACCCACTTCTGTCAGTTTATCAGACTTATTGAGCTGATGCTAGACACTCTGCCACCAGGATTTCAAATTACCAGCTGCGACACCCATGGTGGACAGGGTTCAGCAGTGTATCCAGGCTAAAACATACTGAGAAGAAAGGCCCGGGGATCTACCTCTGACAATTAGCCAGTGGCTATTTGAAGCCCCCAGCATCAGGTCCTCATTGTTTTCCCCCTTAGGAGCAAAACCCAAGGTTGATTTCCACAACAAAGGATTACCTTTCCCTTATTCCCTGGAGGGCTGCTCTGCCTCCCACAAGGGGAAGCAAGGAGGTGGATTGGAAGTGTGTGTTTGGGGTGATTTCCAATTTAGGGTTCTCATCTTCTAACCCTTCTTGGACAATATTCTGTTGGGATCAGTATGATAGTGTGGTAATACTTTCTTTTGTAATAATTAATACTAGACTCATTCCATGGAGTGGGAGATCGAAGATGTCCCAAATGTCCAACCCTTCCAAGATCCTACTTTTCTCCATTTCCCCACCCCTTCTCCCTTGATTGTATTCCCTTGGCCCTGGGTTCTGCTGTTCACACGGAAACTCAGGAAACTTTGAGGAAATGCCTCACGTGATGGTAGCGACTGTTCAGTCCAAAATCCAAGGGTCAGGGAGGGCGAGCCAAATGCAGCATCCAGAACTAGAAACAGAAAATGTTCAGAAGCCACAGTGGGTCGGCCTTCTTACTTCTACCGGAGCTCGGTCAGGACAGTAGAGGTCCGCTTTCCAGGCGAGGAGATACACGGACGTGGGAATTGTATGGCGCATCATGGTGTCTGCAAAGAAAGATCTCACGACTCTTAAAGATACTATCGAGGAAGCAAAGAAAAACTCTGGCTGCCACCGAGTCAATGCTGACTCATCGCGACCCCCTGTGGGTTTCTGACACTGTAACTCTTTATGGGAGTAGAAAGCCCAGTCTTTGTCCTGCTGAGCTGCTGGTGACTTGGAACTGCCAAGCCAAGGTGTAACCATTACACCACCAGGGCCCCACAGGTCCATTAGCAGAGAATACCTTCCAAAATGGGACTCTAGCGTGACCAACCACACCGATCAAAATGAGAGGGAAGGTTGGCTGCCCTGTAGGCAGCGTGGGGCAACAAGTGGAGAGCAAATGTTTTGAGCATGACAGGGCAATGAATGTACAAATGTTCTTGACACAATTGATGTATGTATATGGATTGTGATAAAAGTCGTATGATCCCCTAATAAAATGATTAAAAAAGAAAAAGAAAAACAAACACAGCTAACATTCCCTAAGCATTTCCAGTAGGATACATAAAATTATTTTATAACTTTTCTCACAATATCCTATGTGTTGACATGGTGGCAAGGGCAAGAATTTGATCAAAATAAGATCAATCCATACAACGGAAATCTCCAAAGAAATGAAAGGTCCTTATTTTAGCTCTGTGCCACAAACAAAAAGCCTAAGTGGGCTGCTCTCAGCTTAGGCTTTAGATGCAGGGGTCCTCAAACTTTTTAAGCAGGGGGCAAGTTCACTGTCCCTCAGACACGTTGGAGGGCCAGACTATAGTTTTAAAAAAAAACTATGAACAAATTCCTATGCATGCTGCACATATCTTATTTTGAAGTAGAAAAACAAACGGGGCAAAAACCCGGGCGGGCTGGAT